TCCAGCAGCAATCTTTTGCTGTGACTGAAACTTGATTGATTAAACGGATGATCTTGCCGTTGACAATGCATTGGAGTCTATTAGATGGCAGAGGATTACGCTGCTAAGGACTTTTTCCACTTCTTCGTCCTCAGTGAAGATGGTACCTACGGAACAGTGCTCGCTGTAGGTCCATTTTGCCTTGGACACGTTCAGCTCTAGACCGATCGAGGATGACTCTTTCTGCGCCTGGACAACTTTGCTCAGAATTCCACCCGTCATTATAATGATGCCATCACATTTCAGACTGTTAAAGAGAGCATTACAACTCCGTCGAGTAAAGCACAGGTGAGACAGTGACCCACTGGCTCGCTCCTCTTTGATGTCCAGTAGACACGGTTCCTTGAACAGCTCGATAGTGGCAGCGATGTCAATACTTAATTCCTCAATCCGTAGAATACCAATGTCAAACCTATCTGCCTTTGAGAGCCAACTCAAGCATATCCTGTCATATATTAAAGCATGACATACTCCATCATATATTGAAGTACCATGGCATACCCATGAATAGCCTTTTTAATTCATTCGTCAAGTCCGGATATTTCTGCATTTTTTTGAATTTGGATGTTCTCCGTCGCTGATTACTATATATGCGTATACAGTGTTCTTGTGCTGTAGCTTTATGTAAAAGTGAGATCTTCATCGGAAAAGGTGAGCATGAAAATATTTCTACTTCTTTCCAGGGATCAGCAGCGCTCAGCGGACCGCAGGCACCGTATTTCCTTGGTAGCAATAAAATAAATACGGGCAAATCTGTCAAAACTTTTCCATCAAAATCATTAGGAGAGATTTGGTACCATTATAATATATTAATAAGAATATGCCAGGGATACTACAGGATGGTCAGATGCTACACGTACAATTAATGTCGGGTTTATCAAAGGCAATTGGTTTATTGCCTAGTTGAATTTTACTACTGTGGAAATTTTTACGGTCGTGCAAACGAAACCTCGTTCCTCGAATGATTATTGACACATTAGAAATGATGATTTGAAATTGCCGGTTTATCCTTCCGCCCACTTCGCGTTTCCACAGCGGTCTTTAATTAAGCAATCAGTAGCAGGCACTGGTTAGAATGCTATTAGTTAAATCCAAGGTGTACCGCGCATCAGGGGTCAACGTAAACATGACGTATCGCCTGGCTGATTCATTCTTGTTGACACTCACGAATATTATTTACTCATTTTTGAGGTCTATTTCCGCATGGAATATCCGCTGCTCCCTATTTCGACCTTCATTAGACCGTTGTTTCTCGATGATCCCTCTGTTTCAAGGCCATTTGAATGTCTACCGAGATGCGGTGGCAGTTTGTTTACATTCTCTTGTCACTATGACTTATGGCGATAATAGATTTTCAACATGAGCTTCCGCTTTCTCTGGTTCATAGCTCTCAAATTGCATTAGCGTTCGCCCCGGGAATGCTGTTTGCTTTGCTGCGCACTGAATTTCGCTTTTGGTTTACCTGTTTCTACATTTGCCATAAGTTTCGAGCCTATTATTGAAGTACAGTAAAGTCGTCGAAACAGAACGCATGACGATTGTCAATTGCATACTTTCCAGTTAAAGCAGGAAGGTGAGCAACTGGATGAACGGCCTGAAGCTTTTACTGAATACAGTAATGAGAACTGCATCCTTTCCCTCCTCATTCTCCTGACTGGTTCAATTTCCTCCTCACTTTCTTGCCGCAATTGCATTGTAACGAATTATGTAAACGGGTGAAAGTAAACATGGAGCCGAGTTCTCACCTGAGGTGCATAACTGAAGTTATTCTACACGACGGGGGCATATAGTATATCTCATTTGAAAGAATGACAAAGTAACTGAGAACGACGTTCTCTCTCCCCAAAGGGTAGATCATCAACCTTGTGAAGTACTGTTTAATGCCGTTTTCATGTCCTTGTGCTCTTCTCATAGTTCCAACCATATATCCCCTTCTTTCATCATGGGATTTGCGGAGACTAGCAACTTTACATGGTAAAGACGAAGATTTGGTCAACCGATTACCTCAGGAGTAATTGTCAGAATATGAATTACTAGAATATTAAATAAAATGATCCTCTGGACTTCAAAATCGCGGTCACTCTTCCTACTGGGCTTCCTCTGCCAACAGTGGAGTGAACTCTCGAGAGGGCTGGAACGGTTCAAAGCCGGTTCAACATAAACCATTCCCTCCCGGCTGGTTTAATATCCTTGGGATCCATTAATTGTTCGAAAAAAAGTGTTCTTTTTGGAAACTTAGCTCCACTCCCAGTCTTCTATTCCCTTTCCGTTCTTTTCCTTCAGTTGCTGTCGTTCGTACAAACTTTCTGTCCATAGTGTCGTTCGTTCACTCATTGGTTGGGGCAATTTTACTCATTGGTCGGCGGGTGTTGAAAAGCAGGATGAATTGGGAGAGAGTTGGCGATTAGCGTTAATTGTTGAAAGATTCGTGGCCTAGACTAATCTGATTATTTCGCTTTGACTCGCCTTATGGTGCTCACGTGACATCTTTATCGCTGTGATATCGTACCATGAATGCAGCCTTGTCCAATTATCTTCCCTGATTACCTTCGCTACGAAGCAGATATTCATATTTATCAGCTTTTCATATTCTATCTTCTCAATTTTATGAAGTATAAAATATCTAGAGTCTAACCAAATGATGCGAGAAGGAAATCCGAATTTTAAGCCTGAAGCCTAGACCTCATTACCTGAAAGGTGACAAGCACTCTGTACGAAGTACGAGAGATTGTTCATGGTCATGATCATAGTTTTTCGCAACGCTCAGATATTCAGGCTCCACGTGGCTGTCTTTCTGTGCAGCTTCGTCAACAGTGTCCCGCATCACCGACCGCCATTCGACTAACATGGTAATCTGCAGGTCAACAAAGACCGACTAAGCCGGATAAGCAAGCTCCCATAATTTCTCAACAATCTAACTTAAGGCCAAGATCTGGTCAGAGGTGTTTCGGCCCGACCAGAAGCCACACTGTCCTTCTTGAATCTTCGCGGCAATCATTCCGCAGCTCCTCCTTCGAAATATCGTTGTGCAGACTCAATAAGGTAGTCCCTGGCTAATTGGAGCAGTCCCTTTGGTTTCACTTCTTGAACAGGAGTAGCATCACCTCAGTTCTCCAGGGTGTCTTAGTAGCGTCGTAGCCATTGCAGTTTCACGTTCTCCTGAAGCTTTGAGCATTAGATGGCAAAAAATCATCAATTCCAGCAGTCTTGCCCAATTTTCAACGTTCTGGCCGCTTCTGCGACTTCGTCTATTGAAGGACTAATGTCCTTTGTCTACTAGTTTCACGCAGTTGGTCATTTCTAAGGAGTTCCTCAAAATACTTTCACAGTCGCACAACTGTATTCTCTTCCTTCATAAAAATAAACTTCTATGCGCTTATACCCTTCAGGACTCTCAGACTGGCCTTCTCTCCATCTTGACTTGTTTGTCGTCTGAAAAATCGACTTTAGCATCTCACCTAGCTTTTGCCCTAAGTCAGCTTTCGCTTCGGCCACTGCTAGGTTGCCTTGCCGTCCAGCGTATTTTTATGTATCGGTTTGAGTTGAACGTTCTTTCTTTCCAAGCTACCTCCTGAATGCAGCCTTCTTCTCTCAGACAGCTAGTTGAATCTCTGAACTCCACTACGAAGTTCTTTCATGATCCTCAGGAGGCAGAACAATCCATTTTAAACCGCCGCTCTTAAAGGATTTCCATTCGGTTTCCACGTCAGCCTTCATCGTTATGATCTGTTT